TGTGTATGTAATCAGCATGATAATGTCATCTAATCATGTTTTTAGTTTAACCGTAAAATCAAGTTGAACATCTCAGAGTTCATAACAGTGAAAAATCAGTATATCTTAGAATACATTTTTTTTTGTACAATTAAATGGATGTGCACAGAAGACTAGGGAAACAATTATATAAAGAAAAGAACCAATAAATTAGCAATAATTATCTATAAACAGCAAAGTAATAATGATTTTATCGTAACAGGAGCATTCACAGATAGAGCGCCAACAAGACAAAAAAAAATCGAAATTAATAAAAAGTGATGAGGACATAGGAGTTCTTTCAATTGAATCTATTGCAAACTGCACAGATAAATATTTCTTTTTTATTGTATTTAGTCCTGCACATGCCAATAAACTTGTTCATCAAGAAAAAATCAAATCTATTGATGAATTACGATCACATCCAAAACGTGATCAATTATTAAATAAAACTCAACAACTTGGTTTAAAATATCTTGAAGAATTTGAACAAAAAATTCTTCGAGATGAAATGAAACAAATGGAGGTTTTATTTATAATTAATTATTTAATAAATGAAAATACTATCAAAATATTTTTTTAGACAATACTTTTACGTGAGATCAATGCAATTGATGATCAATTAAAAGCAGAAATTGTCGGTAGTTATCGACGAGGTAAATTTTTATTTTAATCATTAAATTAACTTTGAAAAAAAACATTTGTTGTTTTTTTTTTATATTAGGTGCTGCTGCAAGTTCAGACATCGATGTATTAGTTACACATCCAACAGCAACTATATTACCTTCATTACTTCATAAAATAGTTGATACATTAACAAAAAAAGTTCATTTCATAACTGATACTATTTCTATTGGAGATTCAAAATTTATGGTAAGTATATATATATATGTTTGTTTTTGTTTTTTTTCAATTTATTTAATCGTTTTCTATTATTAAAAAGGGTGTTTGTCAAATGAATGCAAGTAAATTACATCGTCGTATTGATATACGGTAAATATTAAGTTGAATTTTAAAAAGAAAAATTAATATTGATATATATTTATTTGATAGAGTATTTCCGAGTGAACAATATTATTGTGCATTACTTTATTTTACTGGAAATGATCTACTTAATCGTCAAATGCGTATTGTTGCACAAGAACAAGGTTATAAATTAAATGAATATTCAATTCAAAAAGTTGGATCAACCGGTGTATTAAGTAAACCATTACCAGTTACATCTGAAAAAGATGTTTTTGATTATCTTCAAATGGATTATAAAGAACCTAATCAACGTAATATGTAAATGAACAGTTTCGTCTTTTGTTTTCTTCTTTTTTTTGGTGTATATAGAGCAGAACAGTATGAAGATCGCACTTCATTTATCTTATTTATATGGACATGAAATAATTTTGTTTTAATAAAATGAATTGTTGTCATATATATATATGTTGTCTTTAATGTATTGTTTTGTCAAGTTTAATCATCTATGATCAATTCGAATAAATCTTGTTGTGTTCAAAAAAAGTTGACTGATTCGAACATTAACAAAACTTGAAGTTTAGACTAGCTTCAACAATCTTTATAAAATTCTCAGCGGAAAGTTAAGAATAGAAAGACAGTTAGTGGTTCTTATTTTCAACTGACATTTTGCAGTGTATAAACTTGGTACGTCTTAGAAAAAAAATTCACAACTTCTGTCAAAAAAAAACGTGTACTTAGAGAAATACGTCAACATTTGTCTATATTTCAATTCGACTCTCGAATGAAGAGTTTTCGATCTATTTTACTGAAAACCAAAATATTAATATTGAAGCAGCAGTGTTCACAAAACAAAATGAATTACATTGTGAGTTTGCTCGTCTTGTTGAAAATGTTTCTTAACCATGTAAGCTTAGCTACTGACGGCGAAGAAAAATTTTGTCAACTTGCAGTTTATCGAATTCAAATTTTCCGTACAGCTCTTCTTCACTTGTATCGAAATAGCATTATTTCAAGTCGTTGGCACTGTAGTGGGCCAACATCTAGTCCTACAAAATTTAATGTTTCTTGAAGCATGTTTTTTAAGTCTGTTTCACTACGAAAATGTTACTCTTTGCTCCCCGAACGCTGTGGAAAGTTTCAATGCGCTACATAAATCTATCTATCTAGTGAAAAGAGAACCGAATACGTGAGCCTACTTAAGTCTCATGGCTTTGTCGCCTATGATACTATATAATCTATGGTATATTAAACATAAATTTTTATTTTTTTTCACCATCTTCTTACCGAGTTCAGTTAATATGTTTAGAAGAATGAAAAAGATGTATTAGCACTAGAGGTGTAAGCTGTACAGCTGAGCCACCACCGCTGATTTTTCTGGAAAATAAGCCGCCGCACCCACAAATCATAGATAATTTTAAGAATTTTTCAGCAGCTGTCGTTGTGAAAAAGCAAGTTTCGCCGCTCCGCCCCCCACACGAACGCAATTTTATGAAAACTACAGGGATTGAAATAAACAGGAATTTTTTAGTCTTGAAAGAATACTTCAATTTTAAACTTAGCAGCCTCTGCCGAAGAACTTACAAGTATCAGTCGGCGCCGCCGCTATAAAAACAAAATTGAAACGGTTATAGCCGTCGCCGCTGAAGAGTCTGCAAAATCGAATTAGTAGCCGATGAAAATTCTCAAAAATTGAAAGTTTTTTCCCATCACCGTCGTTCGATCCTTCGGTTTACACTTCTAATTGGTACCAAATAAATCGTTTTAGCTCGATTCGCAAGGAAAATGAGACAAATTTAGCTTACATAATGAATTGTTTCTTAAAATTTTAAAGTTTGATTCGGCTTAATTTCGGACAGAAACTATAATTGAGAATAGAAACAAGTAGAATGAAGATATTGCAAATTCTCCTATTTGATAAATATATGTGAAAAATATCTAGAGGACGTTAGTGTACGTCGCTTGTCAAAACTTGTTTCTGATTGGTAAAATAGAATGTGCCATTCAACAACCGCCATCAGTTACAAACATTTTCAATGGCAAATTTTTTTTCTTCTTCGTTTGATGATATAGGGATTCGCTTATCGTTCTATTTATTTTGGTCGTGTATTTGTGTTTTATGGTTAAATTTAAAACATATTCAAATTAATTTTTTAATTTTAGATAAAAAAATGTCGAAATATTTAATTATTCTTGCATTATTATTGATGATCGTAGTCAATACATTAGCAGAAGATAAATTACAAATTGGTATAAAAAAAAAAGTTGAAAACTGTGATCGAAAATCCAAAAAAGGCGATCGTCTTCATATGCATTATACAGTAGTTTTTTGAAAAAAAATTTTCAAATTCTTGATAAATTTTTGTTTTTTTTCAAGGGTACTTTGAAATCAAACGGAAAAAAATTTGATTCCAGTCGTGATCGTGGTGAACCATTTGTTTTTACAATTGGTACTGGTCAAGTAATCAAAGGGGTACATTTATTTATTTTTTAATTTAATATTAAAATTTTATTAAATATCTTCTCTGTTGTTTTGTTTTTAGTGGGATCAAGGATTGCTCAAGTAAGTCATTGATAGAAGATCTTTTCTATTAAGAATTCAATGATATTTAGTATGTGTGAAGGTGAACAACGTAAATTGGTAATTCCACCATCACTTGGATATGGAGATCGTGGTGCTGGTAATGACATTCCAGGTGGTGCTACACTTGTCTTTGATGTTGAACTCGTTAAAATTGAACGAGGAGATAACGATCTTTAATTAAAACTTTGTCTTGATGTTTCATCGTTTTTAAGCTGACTGATAAATGGCATTAATTGATTTTCATTTTGTTGTTTTTGTTCTTTGTATCTGTTTTCGCATAAACATCTTAGCAAAGTCTTTTATTATTATATTCACTGAAAAACATTTGGTTTATATGAGGGAAAAACAAAAGGCTTTTTCATGTAATTGATTCATTAGTTCCAATTGTTTAGCAACATATATGTTGTTTTAAATAGGGATGTCAAAGGTTTCTATTCATTTTCAAATGCAATTGATATCTCATTACTAGCATGCCAATAAATTGTTATTATTTATTTAATTGATTTGACGAGATATGATACTTTTAAATCTTTTTTAAATTTCCTTTATTGATGCATCTTTCATGATATCGAAGGAGCAAAATTGGAATAATCCAGTGGTATCATAGAAGTGCTTTAAACTATAGTAAGTTACTCCATTTGGAAGAAAACGATATAATTTTTTTCTTTCTTTCTTCATACATATTCTT